AGCATGATGATCATAGGAAGGTCCACATTGATCTAAAAACTATGGAAGGTCATGCATTGCTAGTATTCAACCTCGTAACTTAATAGTGAATATTTGAGGAGTTTATAACTGGGGTCTTGGTGCCAATAGATATCTTGGACCCCCACCAGGGTAAGAAAATGATCCAAGCCTGAATTTTCCCAAAATATGTGTAGGAGATCTCAAATACTACCCTTGGACTTAGAAAACTCCAGCTTGATGAAGTTGGGTCTCCCAACATCAAAATGGACGTAAAACACGCTCAGAGTTAGGGCTAGTGCCACCTCACGGTGAATTTTTCCTAATAGGGCCAAATAGGTATTCTTTTTTGTTTTGTGCCCGTGACACATACCAAGACGTCTGACGGGATGTCTTAGATGATGGAAAACTAAACAAAACACTGTATCTTTAAACGGGCATCTCTTTTATGTGACATCAAGAACTGATATTGAAAGATAAAACTTTTTTAGATTATGGGTCTATGTAAACTAATGATTTTTCTCCTACTTTATGGGGATAGGATAGAGTTTATTTATTCTCGGTTTTGGTATCCCTACAAGGGAAAAACCTTCTTAATTCATTATAACTCTAGAGTTGTGAACTCTAGAGAAACTTTAAATTAAAATATTAACTTATATTATTCAAGATTTCAAGGTTGGGCATTTCAAAGTTAGAATATTCAAGATGATGAATAGATCCAAGTTCAAAATTTTAAGGGGATTGGAAAAGTTTGGGGCTTGCTCTAATGGCACTGTATCATGGAAAGGTCTAGAAAGAGGAATTGGCAAACCCAAAGAGGATGGTTTATCTTGAAAACTTAGAGCTGACGATTATTAGAGAGATTTGAGTTTAGTCAAAATTAAGATGGAATCAAAAAGAATGAAGAGACTTTGAAAAGTTTGAGTTGGAAAGATTCCTAAACTAAGGAGGTAGAATTGGGTATGAAAGATTTTTAGATGGAGGTGAAAACCTAATTCTAAGATGAACCTAGACTCTCTAAGAAGGCTAAGTGGGTTGATTAATTTAAATTTTGGGAGTAACACCCTTATTCAAGATTCTCATGGTTTTTCATCGTCTCGGGTATATTGGTATCCTTTGACTATCAAATAGCCATATAGCCATAAATCTTCACTTAGCACCAAGGCAAGAATTTCTAGGTGCCTTCATAGGTAACCATGACTTATTTCATCCTATGAAACCTACATAATATCATAGGATAAAGATTGTTTGTTTTATAGGACACAAACATTAACACTAACTATGGAAGTATCTAGTAGTCTAACCTAGGTTTCTAAACTAGTTGATCTAAATTATGAGGGATACTGGGTTTTCTTTGTAAGTTGTCTAATCCTAAAGTTTATAGTTGATTTACCCAGGTATGATTTTCATGATTTAAGTTGGTGAATTCTAGAATTTTATTTTTGGGTTAAGCATTTAATTCATGATTTAGTTCAGTTCATATGTTTATCGATCGATATGACAATTAGGGTATTCTAGGCTTGGTATTATGCATTTGGTTTCCAAAATTAATGTTTTTTGCTCTGTTTTATTCTTAATTTGAGTTTCTAATATTAGTGTAAAATTGTACATTAAAGTTTATATGACACTTACAAGCTTATGTGATTTAAGGTTAAAGTGTATTTTGAAGATTTTTTCAAATTATTTTTTTTAATGGTTTAATGGTTTTAACTATTTTAAAATGTTCGAGATTTAAAAGTTCTATTTCAAAGGGTTTAAGCATTAAATGTTTGAGTTTTAACAATTTAAAGTTTATTTGTAGAGTGTTTAAGTCTTTTTAAATTATTATTATTTTTTTAAGGTATTTTTGTTACTTTGTTTAAGTGTTTTAATACCTTAAATTATTTTTTTATTTTAAAATGTTTTAAGATTTGGGTTTTAGAGTTATTTTAAAGCGCTTTAAAAACTATTTTGAAATTAAGGTTCTTTTAGAATTATTTTAAAATATTTAAAGATTTTAATTTAATTTAAAAAATTGAATTATCTTAAGGAGTTTTTAGATTTATTTTTGAAAAATTTTTAATTTTCTTTAAAAGGTTTTATTTTCATTTTATTTAGGTTTCAACTTTTTAAATGTTTTCATTTTCATTTTATTTAGGTTTTAAATTTATTTTAAATTATTTTATAAAATGTTTCAAAAATATTTTCTTTACGTTTTGAATTTATTTTAAAAGTTTTTAAATTATTTTATTTAAATTTAAAATTTATTTTAAGTTTTTTTTATATGGTATAAATTATTTTATTTAAGTTTCAAGCTTTTTAAAGGTTTTGATTTACTTTTAATTTCTCTTAAATTGATTTTTCAAGGCCATAAAATTATTTTTTAATTAACTTTATTAGTTATTTTATTTTATTTGTTTTTATGTTTTACATCATTTTTAAATCTGTTTTAAATTTAGTTTAGTTATATTAAAGAGTTTAAATTAATTCTTCAAAAAATTTAAAATTTATTTTTGGGTTATGTAAAAGGGTTTAAAGTTCATTTTTTCAAAAGATTTAAAATTCATTTTGGGTTATATGAGAGGGTTCTAAATTCATTTGTTTAAAAGATGTAAAGTTTATTTTGGCTTATGTGAAAGAGTTTTAAGTTCACTTTTTCAATGGTTTTAAATTTCATTTTTTTTACTATTTCTTATTTATTTTTTGAAAGAGGTTTTAAATTTCATTTTCTTTCTTAGTTTTTTGGGTTTTAATATTCCTTTCAAAAGTTTTAATCACACATGCTTGCAAGTAACATATTTATAATATTCATAAAGAGAACCAACATATGATAGGTTCTCTCTCTTCACTTTTTTTGCATATTTCTCATTGTCATATACTTAAGCTAAAGAGAAAGCCACATGCATGGAATGACTTATACATGATTTTAACATGAAGGAAAAACACATAGAAATTACTTATATTTATACTTGCTTAAAACCATATGGAAACATGGATATTACTTTACGCTATACTTGTTTAAAACATAGATATTACTTTACACTTAACATGTTTAAATTATAAAGGGAAATATGGATACTATTTTAGCTTTATTATGTTTAAAATATGAAGAGAAAACATGAATGTTACTGTACACTTAACATGTTTAAAATGTGAAGAGGAAACTTGATACTATTTTACACTCTAGCATGTTTAAAACATGAATAGGAACCATGGATATTACTTTACATTAACATGTCAACATGAGGGAGAAAACAACAAAATAAAGAACCGTTATATTAAATGAATTACTTTACATAAGATAATTTATCAGGGAGAGATAGTAGTGAGGAGAAGAGAAAATAAGAATTTGAAGAGGAGTGAAGAAGATGAATGAAGAATTGAAGTAAAACAAAGTTTTAAAGAAGTGAAGTAAACTGAAGTAAAGTCTAGAAGAAGTAAAGTGAAAGTAAAGTCTAGAAGAAGTAAAGTGAAGTGAAGTGAAGTGTAGAAGTGAAGTGAAGTGAAGTGAAGTGAAGTGTAGAAGAAGTGAAGTGAAGAAGATAGAACTTAGAAGGAGAAAAACAAAGGAAGTAGGAGAAGAAGAAGAAGAAGAAGATGATGAAGGAGATAGAAGATGTTTACAATAGTGACGTCTAAAAACACTGGAAGAGAGGAGGAAGTCGACCCAACAGAGAACTGAACTAAGAGAGAAAGAATAAGTGAGGGTGAAGAGTGTAATATCTGAGAGTGTCCCTAGAGGTGAATGGGGGCCTCATATTGAGTGGAGAGGCGGTGTGGCTGAACGCATCGCTTGGCATTGACATTAATCGGGAGTCCCTCAAGTAGTATACAGTGTTGTCACGACGTCGAACAACATGGTCACGCCGACGGCTTGGGTTGGGTGGCATGTTTACCCCACCTTACGGTATGGCCACACTTGAAGAGGGTTTTTGGGGTAACCACGTCTGGCGTAGCCTCACCAAAGAGTGGTGTGGTCATGCCAATTAAGGCGAGGGTGTTGGGGCTTTTTAGCTCGTTCCTAGTTTCAAAACCTTACCTACATAAAATATCCATCGATGGGAGGACATGTAGTTATTTTAATTAAGAAGTGGTTGACCAAAAATGAGTTTAATACTGTGTTATTTGCTGCTCTTTGTGCTTGTCAAAATTGAACTCCCGACACGTGTCCCTTCCAATGCCGTCAAATCGGATTCAACACACTTTGATCACACACACAAACACACATATAATAATAATAATAATAATACTAATACTAATAATCACAAATGACTAGGAGTGTAATTGAGTTGAGCTCGAGTCACAATAAACCTGAGACTAGAGCTTGACTCCACTGCAGAAGCGCAGCTTGAACTCGAGCTAGACTCATTCACTAATTACCAAGCTCATGAACTAGGCTAGTCCTGGCCTTAAAGATAATGAGAGCTCACTAGAGCTAGAGCTTGTTCTACAAGATTCACAAGAGAGCTACACTGAAGATTTCCATAAAAAATAATAAGAAGTTGCATGACCTTTTTGAGAATCGTGAGCCACATAGAAAGGAGAAAACTTTATTAATTGTAGTTAATGCAACATATCTTTACAGCTTGCATTACAAATGTTTTTTAATAATAACTTTTTATGGATTTTAAAACATAAATGCACCTAAAATATACTAAAAAACAATCAATTTTAATCCAGTCAACTTGTGAGCTGACGAGCCTAATCATTCTAAGCCTAAACTTAAGCTCGTTTAATTTATGAGAGCTTGAACTCGAGCTCATGGCTCAATAAGCTCAACTCATGAGCTTAACGATGAGTCCAGTTCAAGCCGGCTTATTTTCACCCTACAAACAACCCCTAAATCATCATTTAATTCCATATAAGCTAACATGATATAATAAAAACAAAAAAGCCTGCCTTTTTAGCTCTAACCTCAATAGCAAAAATAATTAGAACAATCTAAAAAACATAAGGATTTATTATTCAGAAGTCACAACATGCTTACACACACTTCTACAATTAATACTCTTAAGATGGTAGTCTCAAAAAATTAATGGTTAAAAAATAGCACTCTCAGAAAAAGAAGCTATTTTTATAGAAATACAGATCAAAACTTTACTGTCATCATAATCTAGCCTAAATGTGAGCAATGTAAACTCAGCAAAACTCGATGAAAAATGAGATAATAATCATCCATCAATCGTAGGTGGTGTTTGGCTGCACCATGATTTTATGTTAAATAGAATTGATCAAATCCAGTAAGAGATTGGATTTATCAAACCCTGCGACGGAGATGGAGATGGTTCCTGACGATAAAGTAAATCCTTAAATCCGTCCCGCAATATGATTTGGTAAATCTGGATCTAGGGACGGACCGTGATAAAAGAGACGGAACGCGTGAAATTTTAATATAACAGAGTTGGATTTAATTTGCATGGCAGGATTTATCTTAAATTCATTTCTAAATCCAATTTAAGAAATACTACCAAACACCAACTTAGTTTTCCACACTATATAAATTACTTCACAATAAATTCCTTTAACTTCTTTAACCATTTTAGATACTCCCTTTCATCCTTGTTTATCATGTATTCATACAAGAATCTGTAAAGAGAACTGTTGATGCCTCTCACTTCCAGGTACTTATGAAGAGCCTTCTGCAAATTCTCGTCTAAATCCCTACACAGAATGAGAAATCAAATTCATTATTCAGTTTGCATTAAAATCTGGGTAAAACAAATAAATAATCTCCACTTTAACACAACGACCACAGTACTGTAAACAAAAAAAATATGCTTCTAGCTCAAGTTGATTACTAGAACAAACAATACATAATATACACTAGACTAGTAAAGTACTGGTGCAGACCTCTCAAAAGGGAGAAATTATTCCATATGAAGTACGTACGCAGCTCTGTAGGGGTGTAAACGAACAGAGCTCATGTTCGTGCTCGGCTAATTTGAAATTACGTGTTTGAAATAGACTCGTGTTTGAAATTGTTCGTGAAGTTATTGTTTGTGTTCGGTTTGATTTGTTTGAAATATGTTTGAAATGTTTGAATTATTCGAATTGTTTGAATTGTTCGAAATCTTACAAATTTGTTTGTATTGTTCGAATTGTTCCAAATCTTTAAAAAGCCTAGACCTATAAGAAACTAATGCTTAAACATGTATGATGTATGAATCACAGCACAAATGCAAAATAGTCGAAACACAGCTCACAATAAAACCATAATATCATATTTCATCCATAAAAAATTCTGATCTAGAAGCAATATGAGAGATTTCACTCCCAAAAACTAAGTTTCACTCAAAGAAACTAAATAAATTTAAAAGAAATAAAAGAAAATTTAAGCTAAGAGACGAACCTGAAGATAAATACTAAATTATAGAATTTAATTTAAGCTAAGAGGCGAATCTGAAGATCTGATTATCATTTATAGGATTTAATTTTTAGATAAATTTTTAGAGTATATAATTATTTTTAAATTATGATAATTTTTTATGTATAATTATTTTCAATTATTTTATATTTCGAATAATAACGATTCGAATACAATCAAACAAATGACTGTTCGTATTTGGTTCGTTTATAAACCGAACGAAAACAATTTTTCGTGTTCGTCTCGTTTGCATATTGAATGAATCAAACACAAACTCCTCGACGAGCTGAACATGAACTGTTCGCGAACAACGAGCTTTTTTGACAGCTCTACAGCTTTGTGTGCGAACTCCAATAATATGTCGCCGCATGGAGGTTATTGTGGAGTTATTGACGTGAAACCAAGGAGGTTATTGGGGTGTTAAGGAGTGTTATTGGGGGGGTGTTAATGTAAGGGTGGAACCGCGGAGATTATTGGAGTAGAACCACAGATGTTATCAGAGAGTTATTGGAGGGTTATTGAGGGTTTATTCCAGCGTTATTGGAGTTAATGACCCAATAACCCCTCAATACCCCCCCAAAATAATCTCTGTAGTTCAACTCCAAAAATCTTTGCGGTTTCACTTCAATTTTTTTTAGGTGGGCTCGATATAACACACATGGCGGGATATTACTGGAGTCCGCACGTAGATCTGCGTACGTACTCCGTATGAAATAATTTCTCGAAAGAAGCAAATAATCAATGGTAATGTTCTCATAAGTCTCAAAAGAGTGATTCATATGGTTCGCAAATTTGTTAGAAATTTTAGGAAGATTTACATACATACCACTCAATTCCTATGTATTTACATATCTAACACCTAAACCGCAATTTTTACATACTTGTCATCTTAACTATGCATGAACAGGTGTATTTTACTTCATAGAAGTTAAAATGATGGTATTTTTTATGCGAGTTGAAAGATTTGGATGCTACTAATGTAAAATGTGACATTTTTGTGTTAAATATTTAAATACAAAGGAATTTGGCAATCTGAATGTAAATGCCCCAAAATTTTATCAGGCTGGCATTTCAATCCCCTTCCTTCAACTCAGCAAACAAATCAATGGTAAAAAAGAGCACCTAACAGCCAGTTTAAACAGTGATAAAAGACCACCCCCTTTTATATTAAAATTAGAAAACTATACAGAAATGATTATAGGACTAAGAAAATAATAGGATACATACGAGAACTCAGGTCCTTGATATGCTTCCTGGGTATCAAAATGATCACTACTGCTGCTTGCCATGCTTTCTATTTCAAGCTCATCAGAAGTGAGTTTGCAGCCAAATTCCAAAATAAAGCCCTGCCCTTTATCTATAGTTATATGTAATGAAATTCTTCGTATGATTGTTGTCCCCTCCTGATCTAAATTCATGTAAACTGTGAGTTGGATGTTCTCATCACCATATTCTCTCTTCAGAGTCATTGTTTGGTCACCGCGCCTATCAATTATTTCAAAAGGAAATTCTTTTGGAACATCAATGTCCTGCCAATAGAAATTCAAGAATGTATAGGATCAGTAAAATGAACCAAACAAATAGTTGGGAGAATGCTTAGAAACAAAACTATAAATATGAAAATTGTGAATTGCATGTATGCACATCCATGCATACTTATAGTATTACCGAGTATTAGAAACCCAAAAAAGTAGAAGAAAAGTAAAATCAATATTGGCGGAAAGTTTAGAGCAATTATTTTATTATCTTTTGGCCTGTCTCTCTAATTCCCATATAAACAGGAGATCTCTTGTAATTAGGGTTATAATCGAGCCGAGCCAAAATGAGTATATCATTGTTCAGACTTGGCTTGATATAATTATAAGTTGTTCATGTTTTGCTTGTGTTTGTGTCGAGATTTCATACATTGTTCAAGCTTGATTTGTTTAACTTTTTCAATGTTTGAACTTAATTTGTACTTGATTTGTTTATGACAAGTGAACGTGGATTTAAAGGAGCTAATAAACAAGCTAAAAATTCAAATAAGAATCTAGATTTTCATATAAAAAATGCAATAAATAGTTTTGCAATTCTAATCACAACTACTAATTTGTTGATTATAAACTCTAAAATCTTTAAACTTTACTAATTAGCTACATAATTATTATAGATAAAAGACTAAACTAGTTCAAATTTTATAAGTGAAAGAACTAAATTATTCCTAGAAGTTATAAGGATGATCATTTACTTAATCATATTAATACGAACATAATGGTAATAAGATAATTCACATTAATGTTGTTGATAATTGCAGCGTGATAGACATATAACAAACAAACTCATTATATTCAATATTATGAAAACTCGACAAGAAAAATATTTTATTACTCTTTTAACTGTAAATATCTAATTTTAAATTACCATTTGCTTATTAATAAAATAAATATATAATTAATAATTAAACTAAAAATATTATTCATATAATAATATATTACTATTAAATCTATAATTAAAAAAAATTCCAACTAATTAAATTTTATTTAAATAATATATCATATATATAATACGAGTTATTATTGAACTTAATATCGAGTATTTAATAAGTTACTTATTGAACTTCAAACGAGTTTATTTGTGAACATAAAAGAATAAGTTTGACTTTGTTCATGCTCAATTCGTTTGAACTTTGAGCTTTTAAAAATTGTTCAAGCTTGTTTATTTACTATTATGAACAAACATGATCAAGCTTTAACCGAGTCGAGTTCAAGTTGCTCATCGAGTGCATTCGTTCATTTACAACCCTACTTGTAATGTGCAACACTCGTCTACTGGATGATGAAAAGAATAAAGTAGTTCTTTTTTAAGTGCATTTGTTTTAGTATTCTCATCCACCGAAGTTGAAGATCTATTAAGTGTGAGTGGCAAAACCATTGGAGACGGACTTCCATAGAAGGAAGATTATCATAACTATAAAAAAAACTACTCATAAAATTAATCTTCAGTGTTGTCAGTTGCTAATGGTTTGTCTAGTTTAAATTAAAATATATATATATTTTTTCAGTGTGTTTCCTTTGTCGCTTGTTTTTTTAGTTTTCATTTTATTTGATTTGTCACTCATTTTGTAATATTGAAAAAATTTAAAAACACTATCTTTGATGAACTTACAATACATTGTGTTAATCAAAACCAACAGCCAGCCATAACATGTTAAGTTTTGACAAGAAACAGTGAAGTACTACTTTTCTTTGCTCATTAAAAACACATTACAATTTGTTGTATGTCGGATTGATATAAAAGAAACTTGATTCTCATTTAAGTTACAATTTGTGTATCATTATAGTCAAGCATAATACATTCGCACACATCATTTCTGGACCTTTTTTTTCTTTTTTTTTCTCTTTGCTAGTACATTTTTTGTCATTAACTTTTTCTCTATTGCTTTGGCAACTTCCTCCTTATGCATCGAATGTAGCTGATTTTCATCCACTTAGTGTCATCTATAACTTTCCTATCAAATAGTTTTTCAAATTTCTTCATCTAGACTTCCAAAAATGTAAGACCTACTGGTAAAAGACTGCTTTGAACCCTGAAATTACGAATCTAGTTTCATTTTTCACCCTAATGGCATATTTTAGTGGTTATTTGAAAATTCAACATAAAAATGTCTCAAACAGTAATTCAAGCTCTGAGTAAGCCTAATAATTATTATCACAACACTTTAAGGGAAAATTATCCAATATATATGTCGATTACAAATACCTTGCAAATATAAAAAGATGAATTGCTTAAAGTAAGAAAAATTGGCAATCTTTCAAATAAGCAATTTTGTCATCAATGAATGGAAAGATGGACTTCACTTATAAGTAGAGATCACAAAAACTAATATTATCTTTGAAAATTTTCAAATTTGGCCCATCCCTTCCAAAGCAGCCAAATCTTAAGCCTCCTCTATCATAGTCCTGAACACATTAATTGAATTTTAATCCACCATTCCAATCTCTAAGAAATCTGTACAGCACTGGAGGGCAAGCACACAGAAGAAGATAAACGCTCTGATTAAAAATGTGAAAATGAACACTAACATTGGTCCTTACACTATTATGTATCTTCATCATTCTCACGAAAGGGTTCAAAGTCCTGAAAATAAAATGTCTTATTACCATCATTAGTTAGGATTAACTCCTGCTAATGTGTCATTTCATCACTGATCAAATTTCGCCGTAGCAAAACCAAATTTCTGAATGCTTTATCCACATCGTAAAAGTATTCAGCTAATTACAATTTTCTTGATAATCCTTTCAGATCAGATATCATTTAATCCATTCAAACTACCTCTCACAATTATTTTTGCTCGAGATATTCTGATTTGTATCAATACATAAACCAATGCTTATCTATGAAAAATTCAAACTAAATGAACTAATTTAAGAATGACTATCTTAAACATACAAACATCAATTTAAATTATAGATAGCCATCTCTTAAAAACAGCAAATGTTATTAATTCTCCAACATAAGTGACGGGTAATATAAAATAGGGTAGAGAATTTTGTCAAGTGAATTGCAGGTTAGTTTTCTTGATTCCCTCTAATCATTGGTTAATTGAAAGCCTTCTGAATCACTACTCACATTTTAAATCATTTGCTTTTGCAATTTTTTTTTTCTTTTTTCTGCTGAGATTATTCTTTTCTTTCTCATTGTAGCCAATGGCTTCTAAGTGGGTCTGGATACTTAATTTCTTTTCCTTTGATGCATTGAGATGATAGTTCTTGTGCTTTTCAGCACTTACCCCTTTATTGAATTCTCTAGGCCAGAGGGTTTATCAGAGCCTCATCTGAAGTAGGAATGATTAACCAACTAACTCTTTATATTCCCTCCCTTTACAAGCTTTTTCATTTTTTTTATTTTTTTTTTATTTTTTGTCTTCTACGGAAGATAACATCCTCATTTCATTGATATGGACTACCCAAAATCATATGGCATTCAACAATTGTGCAACTTCATAAACCAATCCATCAACGAGAGCAAATATAAGAGTACATTGTTTCGTGATCTAACTAATATTTTTCTTCTAAAACAAACAAAATACAGTTCAGATATTTAGTAGTGATTATCTTGAGCTTATCAACCAAGGCTTTAGAGATAAGATATTTTCATAAACTATAATTAAAATAGCTTCACAGATCATAAATTTTAAAAGAAAAGTTCCTAATTAGCTTCCTCACAAGCATGATCACACAACATAAAGAGCAATGCAAGATTTAACTTATTTACTCCTACTTCAATTACTTCATATGAAGTAACAGTTATAATTTTTTTATTTCTTTTGACCTCTTATTTTGATATAAGATTCAGCAATTCTTAAGCCTATGCTACGACTTCGGCTTTTTGTAGTAATGACATGGTGGTTAGGTATTTTACTCCATTTAACCAAGACTTTAGCTATTCCTTTCTATAATTGTTAGCTCACCTTGTTGTTAAATGGAAAGATACATGTCCTTTTCTTGAAAACAATAGCGTTGTTCAAGCTTGAAGGACATAAAAAACTCGAAAAAAGCTAAAATTTAAGATGAACTTCGAAAAATCCCGCTTGAGAGCACAAAATTTTCCTTCAACCAAAAGTTTAAAACCATTGCACGCCCTATAAATTTTATTCTGTTTTCTTATATATTTTGTTTATTAATTCACTCAAGTTTGCCATTGATATACATTTTTTTTGTGTTTCAAACACGGTCGAATTAAATTTTTAGAAAAATATAAGAAATCAATTTCTCATGGGAATCATGCCTATGGAACTTGGCTATGCCTTAGATGATGTAGCAAGTAAAGATAAAAATCTCAATGGGTCTGCTTGATCGAAACTCTAAGAAGTAGAGAAGAAATATTGCGAAGGAATTATTTTGATTACTTCAAACTAACCCATCAATCTTAAAGATTTCTTTTATAAGAATACAACACTTGGGTAAGACACCATTCTATATATATAAAAAAGTAATCCATTGACCACCGTGCCACATCCCCACATTCTGAAAACCTCCCTTTTTCAATCAACTTTCAATTTAAGAACAACCAAAATTGATGAAGGAAGTAGTTCCGCAGCTTCCTCCTTTGCAACAATTAGTTATATCTATTAATTCATAAATAAATTGCATTATAAGAAAACAATAAGAAATTCCATCCACATGGAAGCACGGAAAGAAAACTAGCGAATATGATCGAGCTAAAAATTAACAACGCTGATGCAGGAAGTAAGAATCTCATCGCAACGACGAATAAAGATCAGTATTTGGTACATAAATCCAACTACGAATCAACGACGGTGTTGAATATGCGAAAGGAAACAATGAATCAAGCAGCCAAAGTTAAAAAAGCTCGTGATGCGATATTACCAGAGAATTTTTCGGTTCCTGGACGCAATCTATCTCGGACTGGAGAACTTTCAAAAGATTATCATCGTCTTCCACCTTAAAAGTGGCGAATCTAAGAGATATGAAAGAAGGAGGATACCAGAGCCGTTGTGCTTGCGCCCTCCGGACCAGAGAATTGGATTGGGAGGAAGAGGCCTGAGAAGAAAAACAAGCACTGAGGGTTGAGGAGATTTGGAAGCGCGACGTTCTTCGAAGGATTGAGCGCGCAACGACGGAAGCCATTTTGCATTTCGAGTGAGGTCTCGCGGTGTTCGGAGAAATAGGGTGTGTGCGGACTACAAAAGCACGGAAGCTACTGGAGGAAAGGTCTTTTGTTTAGTTGAGGAATGCAGTAGTAGTCTTTGTTTAGTGGAGTATGCAGTAGTAGTGTGTTTTTTTTTTCCCCGAAAGGGAATGTAAAGAGTATATTATAAAGTTTAGGCCCATGAGTCTAAGAATTATTCAGCGGAAATTGAATCTCATACCAGACTTACAAATGACAAGCAGATGTCCGACCAACAAATCTGAATATGTGGCGCAAGTATGCAGCGGTAGTATTGTAACTATTGAAAAAAAGATATTTTTGCTATACAATGTCGTTTGAATGATCATTTCAAATTAAATAACTCATAAATAAAAATAAAAATAATACTCAAAATCCTAAAAACTCACAAATTTAAATATTACAAGTAGAAGTGATATCTCACTTAAGAGTGTGACACAACAATAAAATTTAAAAATATAAATACAAGAACAATAATTCATATTATCAAAAATTAATTTTGAAATCCAGAAGATCAATCACATGGGATAACCTCTTCTCAAAAGATTCTCTCCAATCACTATCTATGATAGAATCATCCCATTAATTTGCATAGCAAAAGAAGTCATGGTCCTTTTTGGATATTTTTTCTTCGTGGTGTATGTAGAAAATATTGTAATCTAAAGTTGCAGCACAAGACTTTAGAAGCATTAGAAGTTATCAAGCTCATTTTTATTAAAAGTTAATTACCTCAAACATAAAATTAGCTTGTCTTAACGGTACAACAATAAAGTTATGTGAAAAATTAAAGTAAAAAAAATAATAGTACAAATGTTAGTATATAAGAAATGAAATTTATTTGTTTGATTATCCAACCTTGAGGTAGCATAAGAGAATTATAATGGCTATTTCGCACAACAGAATAAACAATCTGACTATTATGTGCGTTGTCTTCTCATTTAGTCATTACAGCGATGAAACAGATGTTGAAATCACATGCAGTCGTAGCATTCTATATAGGTGAGTCACACCTCCTAATAAATGCAATATTTTCATTTTGAGATAATCGTGCTTCAATATGTGTTTCTTCAATAACATGTATGATTTTTACATTGACCGAGTATATTTAACATATATTATGAACTAAGATAAAATATACCTTAAGTATGACATGTATATGGATCATTAAAAATTGTTTTGGGTGGGCTCTGAAATGTGTTGTTTTATTAGTATAATATTTTTTGATGGCAAACTAGCCAAAGCATTCAAGCCAATCGAGAAATACATACTAATGATTTCTGATGAATGCTGAAATTACTCCATAGCAAACCTTGCTGACTCATTTTATGATAAAATGTAGAGGTTTATCATTAATATCTCTCTTGAAGTTATTATGGATGATTTATGAAGGCCATGATTTTGATATAGTTCTTTCAGTAGATCTAAGAAAATATCCTAAGGCATACGAAACATGTTGTGAAACCTAGTTGGGTGACTTGCAAGTAAATCATGCTAAGAGTACGCACAATATATGAGTTATAGTACTCATAAATCAAGCATATGTCTTATGTGATTATTCTTTTCTGATGTAATCTTTCACTATTGTTCATGATTTATCTAAGAAAATAAATCAATATCAATAGAATGATGAAATTACATCAAATGAACACATCTCAAAATATAAATAGAACAATGAGTGCATGAAGAAAATAAATAAAAGCAGTTCAAAACCATAAAAAATATTACATTCAACCATGTCGATTGTTGTAAAAAAAACTTATGTAATCTAACATGCACTATGGATCCAAACACAATATACTCACTTTGTTGGTATTCCAACAACTTGATGACATACAAATATAAAGAGATGTTTTCATAATTTTTTTGTGTTTCTCGTAGTATTTTCATAACTGCTGAAATAGATTGTATTGGTGCAACTGAAGTGCTAGGCTCGGTGGACAAAGTAGTGCATGTAGAAACTAGTTAAAAAATCTTTTGTTGTAAGAATACTGACTTCTTTCTTATTTCCTTACCTCTAAGATGCAAAGATGACAAACATCTTGTATTACTGGACCCAACATGTTTGGTGACGATTTATATATATCCATCACTTGAGTCGGGCCTGTGCTCAGAACCTACTAGCTGAGATAAATCAACGTTTGATCCTTGACTTGGGGTCCAAGCATAATCAGTAATGGCCATGACCTCAATGAACATTTGGTCCAACTTCTTTTCTAACTATGGATCAATGTCACAATTTTTATTTTACTTTATTTTATTTTATTTATTTTCTTGCATTTGACTTGACTTATAAGCAATAACAATATAAGCAATATTGATTTATAACATTGCTTAACATAATAATGTGGAATTATTTAACTAAAAAAACATAGGTTCACCTCTAATTTTTCTTTCCACCATTATTTTAATGCATCATTATTATGCTTTGTGTGATCCCAACTAAGACCGGTAGCTTCATGCTTTAATTCTTTCCACAATTTTTAATGCTTGTTTAATTGATTTGACTTATTCTTTAATCAATCCTATCATACCCATATTCAGTTTATTCTTTAAAATTTTTAATGATGTTCTGCCACCCAACTTTGTTGAAAATTGTCTTCGATCTATAAACAACTTAACTTCTTTTAAACAAATGTCACAAAATATTATCTTTATATCTCTTTCCCACATTACACATACACTGCTATCTCTTGTCTTGCCCATTTGACACATTAATTTTGATGAGAGAAAAAAAAATAAAAAAGTTACAATACATGAACTTGATAAAATAAATTAATGTATATATATGTTGATTACTCATCAAATTTATTTGAAATGACTTAGCATATGTTTTGATTATTGGCACACAAAGATACCAACATATTCAACTACCATAAACTAACCCTTTATTCCAATAATGTAAGCGTGTCAGAAATTAACCCCAACAAAAGTAACCAACATATAAGTTATATGAAATGATATAGAGAAAAGCACCTAAGAGAGAAAATTAACCCCCATAAAAGCAATCAACATATAGACATATGTGCAATATTTCATATTTCATCTATGTAGTTGTTTCTACTTTATGCTAATGTAACATAGATGAAGCTATGAAGTCCAGTACTCTATGTAGAAGTAAGAGCATTTCTGATTTCTTTAAGAAATCCATAAAACATTAACCTACTGATTCAAAACAATGATTTCAAAATAGGATGGACACAATGCCACTACTCAAAGAAAACAACAACACAAGTATAAGAGAGAGAGCACCAAACCAAAAGTGAATTCACATGATCAATTTTGCTATCTTAAGAAAGCACAAGCAATTAGTAATGAATTTACAAGATGATGGACGCAATACACCGCACTCCCAATAACATTGCACCACAACGGGCTCTGTGTAAATATAAGAGCAATTATGCCATCCCAAAAAGCTAAACATTGAATTCACAAAAGGATGCAAGCCCTAACCCTCACTCCCAACATCAAGCTACATCATAAAAACACCATAGCATGAAGCTTTGAAATACAATGCTTTGTGCAAAGGAAGTATTAATTATGCTAGCTTAAAATCATGTCATCACAATGTCACCACAGCTCCACTAATGCACCACAACAAAATAAATAACAAAGAAGTATACTAGGTGCTTGAGAGGGTGGTGAGGTATTAAAAAAGAATAACAACAGAAGCATAATTTCTTCCAAAAAAATAAACCAACACTTCTAGAGAACACTAAATCATAAACTAACATTATTTCACTTCTCCACACTCACAATAAAGAACACTAACTCCAGAAAACCAACAACACCAACTAAATGTATAAGTTCTCCCAAAGAACAAAGTAACACCAATAAAGAATACTAAATCCATACCAATATAGAGAAATATAAAGTAGCTGAGATATTAAAGAAAGCCACATATGGATGTCCACAGAGGGCTCAAATCCAATGACAAATGCATGAAAAATTTTAGGGTAGAGATCTCCAAACTAATGTAGATGGAAATGCAAAAAACAAAGCCACATATGCATATCATATCACAAAATCACAAAAACCAACCTAAGGTCAATCAGAGCAAAGAAAGGAGTTCGAAGATTGAATATACCAATAAGATTTTATTTATTTATTTATTTGATGTGTGTCCACCATAGATATTGAAAGGTTTATATCTAAATGATTGGACATGACATTTAAAGAATATTATTCATACACAAGGAGAATAAATATTACCTTAGAAATCGACCTAATCATTTGGAAGATGAAAATTTTTTAAGGCTTACTAGTCTACGTGAATCAGGTTTCTTTCCTACCTTCTCAGTGTAAGACAATGTTTATTTTATTCTAGGGTTTAGTAATTAATTACATCTATAAAACTTTTAACTTTAGACTCAATTACAATATTGATTTTATGTTACTTTGATTTCAAGGTTGGACTTGCAAAGTTGAGATTTCAAAGGTTGGTAAATGTATGCAAGTTTGGAGTCTTGGAAAAATTAGGCTAAAAAGGTTGGACTTATAATCCAATAACAATGTGTCATGGAAAGGCCTGAGAGGAGGGATTTAACCATTCAAGTGATGGAGGTTGACCTGAAAGGCTTAGATTTGATGATGATTGAATAACTTTGAGTTAAAAATTAAGTTGAAATTAAAAGAGATTAAGATAAGTTGAATCAGTTTGACTGGTTGAATATTTTGAGCTTGGATATATGGATTGGGAAGATCAATGTGAAAGTTTGGTATTTGAGTCATTTGAGTTGAATGGGATCCCTAAGCTAAAGGATAGAGTAAGGTAAGAAGTATTTCAAGACGGAGGTGAAAGCTTAGATAGCCTAAACTCTACAAGGAACCCAAATAGGTGGACTAGCCTAAAGCTTCATAGTTTATTTGCAATTCTACTCATCTAATTGTTCTATCAATTTCATTGGAAAAGCCAGAACGACAATAGCGTACATGCACACATTTGCTTGTAAATGCACATTAATTCTTAAATTTAGGAAAAAAAATCAACCTACTCGTTCACAATTTTTGTACAATGGCAAGATTAGCATATAAATGCGACAAGATGTTGAATGAAGGAATGCAAAAAGTAGTTTGGTTCTTTCCTAAGACTAAAATCATGCTAGACAGTTCGTTGCAAGGTCCAAATAAATCTCTCTTAATTCTTTTTTTAATTTTTATTTGGACAATTAACTATTTTAATAAACACAAAATTGTGTGTTTAGATTCGTCAGAATAGGGCTGTCAAAAAAGCTCGTTGTTCGCGAACAATTCGTGTTCGGTTCGTCAATGAGTTCGTGTTCGATTCGTTCGATAAGTAAACGAGACAAACACGAACAAATTTTTTTCGTTCGGTTAGTTAAACGAACCAAACACGAACAGTGATGCGTTCGTTCGTGTTCGAATCGTTATTGTTAGAAATATAAAATAATATAAAATAATTATATATAAAAAATTTATTATATTTTAAAACATTAAATTTTATAAATTATAATATATAATAAAATAATAATAATAATATATTAATATATTATAGTAGTAATATACTAATATAGATATTGTATATTTATATAATATAAGTTATATAATTAATATATAATATTATTTTTATATATTAATATTAGCGTGTTCGGCTCGTTCGTTAAGAAACGAACACGAGCTTATTTCAAACAAACTAAATTTTAAACGAACCGAACACGAACACAAGCTTTGTTCGTTCGTGTTCGGTTCGTTTACACCCCTACGTCAGAATACTTTCATTAAGACAATTATCTTGATCATACAAACGCATAAGTTAATATAATATAATCCCACAAATTACCTTGAAAAATGCTTAATTATACTTTTACCTTTTAAATGCTTGATTCAAACCTATTTAAGCTTAAATTTGCAAATTCTTAACATTGTTTGATTTGTCACATTGAAATAAGTTCTCAATAATAAGTTTACAAAAAAACAAAATTCAAATGATCACAATATTTCTAAAATCTTTTAACAAAATACATGATACCTCGCAATATAAAATTCACAAATATATGCAACTTTTAACATTAACTAAATACTTTAGGCGTATTTACATACATACCAACCAATGCCTATGCCTTTAAATATCTAACAATGCCTATGCTTTTACATATCTAACAATTAAAAAAATGAAATAAACTTATTAAAAGAGTTTTGCGAATAAATTAACATTTTTATATACTCTGAAACTAATATAACCGTCTGCAAAAAATCTCGAGATTATTTTGACACTTTTCTCAATTTAAAATGTAAATACAACTCGTGTTAGATTTGCCAAATTTGAAATTATGAAGGCTTTAGTGCATTTTCTCAAATATAAAGCAGTGAAATCCTTACATAAAAGAAACACAGAAGTCATATAATTATATAAATATCCAGTTACAATTCATATAATAATTCATTTCCTATGCTAACTTGCTCTCATATGCCATCATAATAATCTAATGGCAGATTTACAAACACATCACACAAGTTTTATGCATTTACTTATCCAACACTTAAACTTTGATATTGATTTATATAAACATTATAATCTCAATCACATCTAAACATATATGTTTTATGTGATGTAAAGATATAATTGTTATATAATCAAATATTGAAATTTAACTGATAGATGTATACATACATAAGGATTATGTGATGTGTATGTAAATCTCCATAATCTAATCTCCCGCTCAACAATCATGAGCTAATCCTATAATAAAAAAGGGAAGATTTTAGAATGATGTTGTGACACATTGCGCAATGTGTCAAGAGACCAACCACATGAAATATGTTGACCAGAAGGTGACTGCAACTGAAGCAAAAGCATATGTCCAGAGGAAGAGCACCGAGCACTCGCTTTCGCCGGCGCCAAACAATTGAGTCATAGTCCCTGTTGTAGAATCATAAAGATTAAACAAACTATATATATAAAAAGGAGCATTTACATTATATAGGTCTGTAGATGAGCCGAGCTTAAGCCAACTCAGGCTTACGGCTGAGCTTGAGCGAGCGGCTCGTTCTAAATTGGCTTGTGTTTGAAATTGCTTGAGAACCATGCGTTCTTGTTCGGCTCAATTTACATATTATTTATGTTAGGCTCAAAATTAACCACGCTAAAATAATAAGATAAATAGATATGGAGGGCGTTGGATTGATAAATAGATATGGGGGGCGTTGAATTGGAAACTACACCATTCTTATGCAATAAAAAGACGTAGAAACACATGACCACACAAGCTGTGATGATTTAGGCTTAGATATAAATATATATAATTTCATTATTTCATGTTAAAATGAGCCGAACACAATAAAACAGAGGGATGTTCGTGTTCGGCTAGTTTATAATTCAAGCTTAAAAAAATTATTCATGTTCAACTTGCTTGTTTAACAATCGAACACGAGCCATTTACGAACAACAAGCTTTTTTGATAGCCCTATTTACATACATACCAACCAATTTTTATGTTTTTACATATCTAACATCAAAACTTTCTTTTTACATCTAGACCACCTATATCACATCAAAAGTAGCACTATTTTTAAGAAGTGAAATATACAGTTTCACGCATAGGTAAGGTGGCATATATGTAAAAATTTAGTTGTATGCATATAAATCTTCCGAAAAAAAAAAAATGAGATGTCCTCCAAGGACTTGTTTAATTTCAACATTTTACCGACTTTACAGTAACAAAAAACTGACAAGAACTTCAAGAAATTTTCTTTCTTTTACTTAAAAAAATATTATAAAAATGAAGATGGAGGCAGCTTGGAGAATCACCTATGTTCATAGCAGGTGGAACGGCATATTGCACCATCAGGACAAACTGATACAAAGGATCAGCATGCACAAGGCCTAGAAAAACAGCACCTTTCACAATAACTATGCCCGCCAATGGTAATAGCACATAGCGAACCACTATAACTCCAATAACAGCTGAAGCTCTAATGCTGGAGCCTCTTAATCCTGATGATTCAAAGTGTAAATATGCAATTATTTGTGTAAAAGATTTTATTTTTTTGTAAGTTTAAAGTTTTTACATTACCTTTAAGAAGATTTCCTCCCAAAATCAAAGTCAAACTTGGAATTGCTCCATCACTGAATTTCAAAAAAAGGTAAAATGGTTTTCATGACTAAAAATTCAATAATTATCATGGAAGAAACTTATTCATATGAACGCCATAAAGTGATTTAAATATCTTTGATATTTCAGGAAAATTTCATAAAATTCTCTTCTACAATATGCTAGTCTCTTATATTACATTTAGGGCTGTAAACGAGCCGAGCTTGAGCGAGCTCAGGCTTGGCTCGTGTTCGGCTCGTTCGAAATAGCTCGTGTTCGAAATCGGCTCGTGTTCGAAATCGGCTCGTGAACAGTGTGTTCGTGTTCGGCTCGATTTAAATATTCGTGTTCGTGTTCGACTCGAAATTGGCTCATTAAACTAAAATTGAGAAAAATAGATGTCAAGTGTGGGATTCGAACCTGGATCAAATCTATACAAAGGAAGACACTAACCACATATATAGTAAGTTATATTTTTTTTTCGAGCCATTTCGAGCCGAACACGAGTGAACAAACTGTTGTTCGTGTTCGGCTCGTTTACATTTCGAGCTTAAAAATTTATTCGTGTTCGGCTCGTTAGGCTTAACGAACGAGCCGAACACGAGCTACTTAACGAGCCGAACACGAGTTGTTCACGAACAACGAGCCAAATTGACAGCCCTAATTACATTGAAGTTTATAGGAAGATATACATACATACCAAACATATCCCATGTATTTACATATCTAAAGCCTAGACTTTTACATTTATACCAACTTGAGCTTGAAAAGGTGTTTTTTTTTGCTTTTTAAAAGTTAATAATGGTGGTATTTTTGACGTCATATGAAAGATTTGAGTGTTATATATATGTAAAAATTTAAAATTTCCAGTGTCAGCTATATAAATAGATACAAATTATATGATATGTATGTAAATGCCCCATTTTAACACATGCATACGTGTTATACAACATCAAGATTTTATACGATTTAAATTTACTCTCTAAGTCGACAGATTTGATATTTATATTAGCATTCGATACAAGAGACACTTGCCAAAAAAGGTTATTTTATATTGAAATAACATGCATTTTAGAGAAACTATTTTCATACGAAATCACTTGCACATAATAATGTTAATGGTCAACATCAAGAGCATACCTTATTAAAGAAACAGAGTCTTGAATCACACGGAGAGGAGCACTTTCACCAATTAAAGCATTTCTAATTGGCGCTATCAAACCTACAATGAACCCAAAAATCTGCACAAGCAATAAAAGAATTAAAAAAAAAGAATCATGAAGCGATAGTTATGAACAAAATTGCATGTCTTAAAGCATACATATCACAAAATGATTCCATAATTTGCAGTTGGGAGTAAAATCCATTGAGATTATTATGAATAAAATGATTTTTTTTTTTGAAATTTTTATATAGAAATACATTAGCTCTGATTGATTGAATAGATTTTAATTCAGGTAGGTATCCTTTTTCTGGTTCATTTATGCAGCTTATTAAAAAGCTAAGGATTTTAATGTAAACCTACAACCATGCGTCTCTTCAATTCTGAAGAAGTTGTTTTTCTTTTTGCATTGTAATCTTCATTATTACAAAACCAACTTCTTGGAGTAAGATTCATAAAATCTTACTCCATTCTCTTCTATTGAGTGTAACAATGCATACTGACTTTATTTTGCACCAAATTGTTTAACATAACTTTTGTCATGGTACCTTTATTCTACTACATGTTCTTTGTAATCCTTCCACATCTACTTCTATTATTGACACCATTTTTTCCCTTATGTTCCATATTCATGTACCAAAAAAGTTTATTTTCAAAGAATTTTTTTTTAAATATTTATTATTTTGTAATGATGGTACAAAAAAAAAAAAAATCTTCAAACCAACTCTAAAAAGCGGGTACAGCTATTGCATGTCAGCGGTGTTCTTCTCCTCATCTTCAATGTTTGGAGACTATGGATGAGAAAAATAACCGAAATGATGTGTTTCATAAGGGCATAGGCTTCCATTGTTATTAATTAGAGAAAATAAAAATTACTCGTAACAAAATAAACATATTATTGACCTACAAACATGCCCTATCAATCAACTCGAGCAAATATGATGAAACAAATGATAATGAACATGATAACATGCAATTTGTGCTAAATCAGCTCGACAACCACCGACGCTGCTCAAATATCACCCACTTAAGAAACAAATTATGTCATAGCACACGAAACATCAAAATTATGAGTAATTTTTATTTTCTCTGATCAATAAAAGAGGAAGCCCATGCCCTTATGACACACATTATTCCGGTTATTTTCCTTATCTATAGTCTCCAAACACTGTATATGAGGAGAAGAACACTGACATGCAATAGCTGTACCCGCTTTTTAGAGTTGGTTCGAAGATATTTATTTTTTTTGTACCATCATTACCAAATAATAAATATTTTAAAAAATTATTTGAAAATAAACTTTTTTGGTACGTGAATATAAGGGAAAAAAATGGTGTCAGCAATAGAAGTAGATGTGGAAGGATTACAAGGAATAAGTGGTTAGATTAAAGGTGCCATGAAAAAAAATTATATTAAACAATTTGGAGCAAAATAAAGTCAGCATGCATTGTTACACTCAATAGAAAACATGGAGGAAGCTTTTATGATCTTACTCCAAGAAGTTGGTTTCGTAATAATGAAGATTACAATGCAAAAGGGTCATCAAAATATTTCATGGAAAAAGAAAAACAACTTCTTCAGAGTTGAAAAGACGCATGGTTGTAGCTTTACAACTAAATTCCTGAGCTTTTTAATAAGCTGCATAAATGAACTAGAAAAGGATATCTAACTAAATTAAAATCTATTCAATCAATAATAGCTAATATATTTCTGAATATATGGAACGTAATTTTAGTAGTAATAACTCTAGTGACATAAGTGTAACTTTGGGTGAACTTTGGGTGATCAAATTTGGGTGATCAAATTCTTAAAAGGTGTGAACAATTTAGATATCTCGAGTCTGTTGGTCAAAGTAATGGTGATATAGATGGGGATGTTAATAATAGAATTCAAGTTTGTTGGTTGAAGTGGAGGAATGCTTCGGGCCTTTTGTGTGATAGAAAAGTTCCGCTTAGACTGAAAGGAAAATGCTATAAGATGGTGGTGAGACCTGCAATGCCCCTATGGCGCTAAATGTTGGTCTTTAAAAGAGAAGCATATTACTAAGTTAATTGTTACCGAGATGAGAATGATTAGGTAGATGAGTAGTTTTACCCTTAGAGACAAAATGAAAGATGAATATATCTGTGATAGGGTTGGTGTAGCTCTAGTGACGTACAAAATTAGAGAGAGTCGTCTTAGATAGTTTGGTCACATTAAACGTCGACCATCTGATGATCCGGTTAGGAGAGTAAATGTTTCAGATTTGACTTATGTTTAGAAAAGCATAGACAACCCTAGAAAGACTTGGGCATATTATATAAAAAATGATCTTAATTTATTAGAATAAAATTAAAATATGACACTCAATAGGACACAATGGAGAAAAAAGATTTATGTATCTGACCCCACTCATGAATGCTAATAAGGATCTTTCTGTCAGATTGGGGCGACTACATAGAAGATTGCGCCCATGGAAAAAACCTCGAACCACATATCTTAACGTCCTCACAAAATGAGAGCAAAATTAGTTTCTTATCTACTATTTTATCTCTTCTAAAAATTGACCTACAACCTCACGATAAACTCTCTCACCCATACTCTTTTCTTTCTGAGAGAGGTCGGGTAGTCCAATTTTCGGAGCCCACACACGTTAAAGCATAATTTGAAGCTAATAAATTCTCACAGAAAGTCCTTTCCATATTGTGTACATAAATTGCATAACATCTACATGTCCATTGCTTACTGATCTTCTCATTACTATCAAGTACAAAAAACTATAGATAAAAATTTTATATATTCATAGTTGGATTCCTAAAATCCATACTTAGTTAAATAACCAACTTGCAACTCCGAAAAGCTAAATAACCAATCAAGCATAGAAAACTCTAGAGGTTTTGTCTCCAAATGATACCAACTTCTGAATGGTTGGAGAATCTATTTCCAATATATCAAATTGTAAGCATATCCAGTATTTCAAAAAAAGGAAAATTTAAAAGACTGGGCTAGACTTAGTCAAACTTGGTAAAAATATTAATTCTTAATGTTAGACAACTGAAAATACTAAGCAGTGATTCAGTGGTCAGTAAAGAATAAAAGCAACAATATCATACCACACCAATTGTTGACGGTGCAAACAAGTTTCTAAAGTTGATAACAGACTGCATTTTTTGTAAGAGAGACACCTGCAAAAGAATATTGTAAAATGTAATAAGCATATTGTAATAACAGTCAGCTTAAATTCAAAATTGATAAAAGAACGGTTCTCGCCCCATACAACAATGAACATAATTATTAAAGCATTAAAATATTCGTAGAAAGTAAATCTTCACAAGAGAATTGACATAATCATCATAGAAGATCATTTCTTTAGAAGAACGTAACAGATAGGTTTACGTGGATCTTAAATGGCATAACAAAAAATAAGTTTGACTTTATAAAGCCTAAATCAAAAAAAGGAAGATTTACATACATACCACTCAATTCTATGAATTTACAAATCTAACACCTTATCTATGCATGGAAAGGTGTACTTTACTTTTTAAAAGTTCAAATAGTCATACTTTTTATGTGTTATGAAAGATTTGGGCGGCATGAATGTGAGAAAGTAAACTTTAGGTGTTAGATATGTAAAAGATAGAGATTGAGTGGTATGTATGTAAATGCCACAAATAAAAAAAAGGAGACTGCATGGTGGAAATGACCTTCTTCTCTGATATTGATCGGGCAAATAAAGGTTGGGTTATTTCAGAGTCATCTTTACAAATAACAAGAGCTGAGTGAGTCTCAATATCTTTCACATATGTGCAATTCCCTGGCACTATCTTTGTGCAATCCACAGCAGATTCTAATTTAGAAACTTGATCATTAGTATTTTGTTTTTCCTCTGGTTGCCTTGATGATATTCGCACAATATTGTACACATAAGACCACAAAATTATTGCGCCTATCTGAAATGTTTCATTACAAGTAATCTTTCAGCCAAACTCATAATAAAAAATTTAATTTTTGCAAAGTTTAATAAACCATGTATTCATCAAAGATTAATGAGAAAGCAAAGCACTTAACAGCCATGGAAAGAGAAGCATATGCCAGTGCATATTTGTCGCAAATGTCGGGATCACCGAACGGGCTGCCTTTTTCCTTACAAGTGGCAGGGATTGTAATGATAAGCATATTGCCTAAATTTCCTGTTGAAATATATGAAATATGAAAAAAAAAATTTGATTACTATAATAGCTGAAAAGCATATTCTGATGGCTTGATGGTTCATCTTTTTATAATAGAATCCAACAGAAAACATAATCTAATGAGCTTAACTAGATGAATCTAAAATCAATCTTAAGAAATTGTGATTTGAAATTTATTCATTTCACCAAGCTAATCTTATTTATCATATAATAAGAAAATGGTGAGTCAAGCCTGAACTAATAAAGACAATTGTCATTCCAACAACTTGCCAAGAAAATAAAATCTTAATGTTATCATAGAAATATAACCATTGTTATCCTCCATTAATCCATTAAACCCCTTTGCATGGCTTCCATGCATGACACACACATGAAAGGGCAGCCATATCCTGCCCTTAGCATTAAATCGTGAGGGCACAATAAATTATATATATATATAAATAAATAAAAAGCAAGAAGGGAGACACATTCATATCTTCCTTGAAGCCACTCACGTGACCCCCTTCTTCTCCCCCGTCCAGTGTCTTTTAATAACCAATTGCATAGTGCCATGCAAGTGGGTCAAGTCCAATTAACAAGTTGGCTGGATAATCAATGCATGCTTGCATCTTCAATCATGGGCGGGGTGTGGGTGGGGATAAAAATATAAATATAAATATAAAATGATCTAAGAAAATTATTATTTATTATTTATATTTACATTTCAAATATGTGTTTGTTTTTTTTATTCATAATGAAGAGTGGAATTTATTTTTTAATGTAAACACAAATTTGTTTATATAATAATAATAATAAAGAGTATATGTATAGTAAAAAATTGAGAAAAATTTTAAAATAACTAGGTGGAAAACCCCAAGAAAAAATTATGGTTATGCTACCTATAAGAAAATTAAATAACAATATATTGTGTTGTATTACTCAAGTATTTTATAAGAATTTTCTCATTTTTTTTAGTTAATTAACATGAAAACTAACATCGAGAAATTATAGAAAATATTGAGAAAGTTTCTATGTTAAATATTTGATTTTATGATTTTTACTGTATCTTGATTATCTCACATTTAATATAAAATATATTATGTATCTATTAATATTAAAATTATGTCTTAATACAAACAATTAATAAGATTAATTTAAATTTAAATAAGAATACTCATGCACTATCATCAATTCATCACGCATTAAAGAAGCGAAAGAGAAAACTTAATTTATAATGAAATCTAATTACCAAATAATTTTAATGTTAAATAAATTACTTATGTTAAAAAAACGAAATGTTTCTATCTACCATCATAAAAGTGTGTTGTTTTATTAATACTTATTATATCTTTACTAAAAAAATGTAATGAATAAAAAAGCACCCTATATCAAAATGATTTTAAGAAAAGGTATTAATAACAGCTGTATTTTTTCTATGAAAAAAACGGAAGACCTTGTTATTAATGACAATTCATTTTAAACTGACCATGCAATTTAAATGGTTGGCCGGCCTGCTTACATGCTACAGGATTCTTACTTGTGCACATGCATGCATATGTGTGTGTGTGTGTGTGTGTTTGTGTGTGTGTGTGTGTGTGTGTGTGTGTGTGTGTGGTTGCCTCATTTTTGTTCTATTCATAAACCAGGCTTGTGTAGTGCAATGATGGTGGTTGTACATGTATGAAGTTATGATGTGTTGGGATCATAGAGCTATAGTTTCATATTGGTTACTGACACTTGTTTTGTAGGAGACTCAAGAATATAGATCTTATGACACGTATTGGAAATGTGATTGAATATGCTCTATTTTAATCTACATTTAAGTTACTTTTATATTTTTGAAAGGCATTTGTGATATATTTCGCAGGATTTAGAGTAGAAGATTCATTGGAATTGAAGAACCAAAGAAACAAGCTAAGGACCCGTGCCTAGGTGCTGAAGCGGAGCTCCTAAGCGCTCAAGGAGCTCAAATTTGGATCCAAAATACAGAGAATGTGGAAAGTAAGCGCCGCGACAAAAGTGCCTAGGCGCCACAACCTAAGTGCTTAGGCACTGGTTACAGGCCTAGGCTCCCAAAGCCATAGAAACATGACCTGAGAAGCTGAAAAGTAGGAGCAGCGATAGCAGCGCCCAAGCGCCAGTGATCAACACCTAGGCCCTGCATACCAGTGGCTAGACGCTAGTTCACACCTTTTGGTGTTTTTAGCTGTTCACAGGCGTCGATTCGCGATCCAAAGCATATAAGCCATTTCAACCAAAGATTAGAGGATTCAATACGCATTCTACACATGGGATTAAGGAGAAAATGCCGGAACATGAAGATCCAAGTGTAAGTGAGTGGGGCGTGGAGTGATTGTGAGTATTTATTAGTGTGTAAGCAAGCATGTTTGTAACTTCAATATATCAATTGAAGATGAAAGAGAGCTGAGTTGCAATCTTCTTGGAGAATTTCATTTGTTTTTGTCTTTTCAACCTCTTGTTTCTAATATTACTTATTGATGAAATGGAACTGTTGTTGTTTTCAAGCATGTTTAAAGTAGAAATTATATTCACTTTTGAATTAGTGATGAAGGAATGTAAAGTTTGGATTTTCTTTTGTGATTTTAATGAATTTTGTATAAGATCATGTTTTAACCTTCTATTCTTCCTTTAAGTTCAACCTGACTAGTTGAATAGTTAAAATATATGCTATTTGAGTTTAAGAAGAAACCTGTGTGAAACAACTGGGTTAAACCACATTAATTTAGGAGAATAAAAATATTGCTTCTAGGTTAATGCAATCATTTAGGAAAAAAATGGATTATTGGTTAATCACTTGATTTAGGGAACTAAAACTGTATAATTATCAAACCTTCTTAAATGCCTAGTAGTGGATAAGAAGAAGAATTGCCTCTGATTGTTACCTACTATTTGAATCAACAATTCAAGCTTAGATTTCTGCAAAACCAATTCAATGAAGTATTTTACTAGCATCAGAAAACACCGTTAACTTCATCACCTTGTTAGCTTAGGTTTGTTATATTTCAAAAATTAGGATTAGTGATTTTTCATAAATATCATAATTTCATAACTACATGCTAGATTGAAAACCAATTGGCTAGAAATTTTCATATTGGAAATTCACTCATTCCTCGTGGGATCGATACACGGACTCTGTTCCATATAATACTAGAGTGACAAGTATAATTACGTGATTTGTCAGTGCTTCGCAGCATTTGGTTTGTACCACCACAGAAGAAGAGTTGGATAGAAATTTTCACTCTCTTTTTACTAGTCTTTTCCTTTTTTATAATACTTTTATTGCTTTATATAGAGTACTCTGTAATTTTTATACCTGGGCTATCTATGAAAAATGATGATGATTAGAATCCTAGGACTGCACATCTTCTACTTATAGGTTGGAATTATCTAAAATAAAAATACACCAAGCATATGGTTTCTAATAGAACTATAGAAGTAATGACTGGACAATTGATTCATCATGTTGGATGTAGACATGTGATATGCCAACTCTTAGTCTTACTGATACATACATTATATAATGATCTTGTGAGTTTATATGTACTCTAAGAGTTATCTTAGAATAGATGACCGAGACACAAATATATCATACGCATGCATGCCTCCATTTCATCTAGCTAGTTCTAGTGTGTATTTCCCTTTCTTTATCTGAGTCTGATTGAAATCTCACTTAGACATGGATTAATGGATTAGTGGCATTCTTGATTAGAAAGGATGTAAGTTAAATTTTATGAGCTTCAAATCTGAATCTCTTCGTTTCATGTACATGTATGAAGTTAATTTCAAATCTCGTTTCCCATGTCATATTAAAAAAAAAAAAATCCACTTAAATTAAGGGCTAAAGCGTAAAAATGAAAAAAATGGTCGAAGAAGAAGACCAGACAATAATGAATGGATTGGAATTATACAACCAACTCAAATTAGTCCAGATGAAATCAATGATAACAATATTGGAGCATACACATACCACTTTACAAATCATTGGTACTAAAAATCATTTTAATCAAGATTTCAAAGCAAACTGATGAAAAGAACCTTCTATATAAAAGAAGACATTGAACAAAAATTAAATAAAAAATTCATGAAGCATCAATATGATTAAAAGCTCAGGTATGCATCATAACATTAGTAAATCATTGAAACATAATATTTACCCGCAGCACAACAACCCAAAATGAGGCCTCTGATTTGATGAGGAGCTTTTGTGATTTGGATAATCACCCACCCGAAAGCAGAACCAACAACAAAGGTTAGAAGAATATTTATTGGCATAAACCATCTGCAGGATAACAAGTTTGTATTATTTTTCTCAATGAGATTTAATGAAAGAAAAGGATTCGAATGGCAATCAGTTGAAGGTGGAATTGTGGAAAAGAGTGTTTGGAAAAATTATCTTCTGTGATAGAAACTGCACCAATTAAGAATTAAATCCCAGCTTCAAAGAATGAAACTTACAATGGAACGACGCTTCCAATGTTACTGTTCTAGCTAAATTGGTTGCCACAAGAGCTGGATTAAATACATAAAATACAATCTGTTCATCAAAGATTTTGTTAGTTTTTCTTTTTTTAATATCAAATGGAACTATTGCTTGAATTAGTCAACTAAGCATGAAATAAAAATAAAAGCAAAAGAAAATGCGCTTAGTTTGTTTTTTCTTTTACATATATGTTATTGAAGGATTTAGAAAGCCAAAATTTTAAAAATTTTCTTAGTTTGTTTGCAGAAGTCAACGAACCTAACCAAGGCAAGACAAAGAAGAAAAATATAATATTCGTAGATGATTTTTCAAAACAAATCATGTATTCATCTTTTGAAGCAGCCTATGTAATAAATAAAAATTTCTGCTTCTCACGTTATTCAAATACTTCCTTGCTTCTTCACCAAGCAAGCCAATGTAGTCAGTCGCAATAAATGCTCCAACACCGGTGACAATAAGCACCTTTAGAACCGGCACAGATGCAGCAATGAAGAGTTGCAAGATACCCATTTTGAAAAATCTCCGTTAAGATAACTTTTGCCTTCTCCAATGCTGTTAGAAAAAGCAAATATCAACTTGTTGCTATTATGAAGGAGATTAAGGGGAGGCCTTTGGCAATGGCAACATAATAGTAAATTGCAAATCAACCTTCGAGGAATACACATCCATATAAAAATCAAAATAAATTATACAACAAAACTCAACCAATGTTTAAAATAGTGTGCATTAAAATTAAAATGCAATAAATAAATAAATAAATAAATAAGGCAAAATACATTCAAAGCCAAGTGATCCCACAGTGCTTTAAGCTCGAAAAAGTAACATTTAAGTGTTTGAGTATAAGTTGTATGCTTTTTGATATAAAGCATGTACTTCATTGATGCACTTTTAAGGATGAAAAGCTTAAACTTTCTTCTTCAACGTGTTGTAAGACGAGATGAGAGGGAGTCAACGCCACCCAATTGATAGATTTTGGCTACTTAAACTCAGAGATTTAATATTGCAATAAGTGCCTATCACATATAACTTGCACATGGCACCAAAGCCCAACAAAACAATCAACTTCGGACAACTTGGTCAGGACTATGTATCCATATGGGACTTGGTTGAGCCTAATCAACATTGCCTAGTTCAACCCACAATCTTATGGTATGCCTAAAGTCCAATCGACAGAATATGAATGCTAAAGATGTTTGTACTCTATAATGTAGAAGTTAACAAGATAAATCTCACATGCCTAAACACAATAAAGCATAAGCTTTCAATTATTACTAAGGACCACAACTGTAACATGACTTTGAAACAAAGATTAGCTCAAAAAGTAATTCATTAAAATTTTAAGCATTCTAAATATCAAAAAGCTAATAATGCCCAAATCTCTAATGTGTAGAGTCTAGCAGAAGGAGTGAAGGCAACGAAACTTATATGAACTCAACTAGCCCCATCTACAAAAATGTTCATGAAATTTAAATTTCAGAAAGAGAATTTCATAAAACTTTAAAATAGTACTTTACTCTGTCAAGCTGCCAACATCAAACAAATCTTCAAAGGAACTTCAAAGCCGCCTTCAACTTTACTTACCTTCTTTTCCTATAATCTTAACAGCCTCAAGAAAAACTTACAAAAGAAATAAATTAAAATGCAAATAAACCCTTTTCTCTGTTTTCCTTCCAGAGCTCTAGAATCGCACCTGGAGTCAAAAGGCAAACAGAGATCAGGCCAAGCTAGAAGAACATGCTCAAGCAGAATGTAAACCCAAACTTGGATGTTAAAGAAAGGCATGGGACTACTTGCTCTTAAACAATAAGAGAGTTTTCCCTACCTACCCACCTACGCTATGTCCAGAAAAAAAATGCAACTTTTCCTCTACTTAATTAAATATAAAAATGGCATTTATGGGATCATTTATTGGGGAGCATATTTATGTAGATTTCGTACCTTCTTATCGGAACAATGTCGATTGAAAAATGGTGTCTTTTTCCGAAGGATTTCTTCTACAATGAAGTCTCCGTAGAAAATAGATAGGTGTTAAAAACTATTAACTACAGGAGCAGAGTTATTAAATAAATAAAAAGGACGAAGGGGAAGTAGGTTTAACCCATTGAAAGCCTCCCCAACGACAAGAATGGCTACTTTCAACTGCTCTCTCCACGACTCCATCCCAAGCGGATTTATAGGATTTTTGTTAAGAACGGTGGGGAGGACGGATAAATAGATAATAAAACAAAGGCCCCACTATGTAAAGCCGGTTACATCAATCATTTTTCTTTATTTCATAATGTCATATTTTCATTTAAATTTAATAAATTAAAATCATGTTTTATTCAATATGCCCAATTCTTCTTAGTAACATAAGTTGAAACTAAAACATCTACTCTTCTAATCGGATCATCAGATGTTTGACATTTAATGTGATCAATTCATCTCAAACTGCTTCGTCTAATTTTATCCATCACTGGAGCTACACCAACCCTATCACGAATACATTCATTTTGAGTTTTGTCTCTGAGAGTAAAGTCACTCATGTACCTAATAATTCTCATCTCGGCAATACTTAACTTTATTTTATGCTTCTTTTTTAAAGACCAACATTCAACGTCATAGAGCGTGGCAGGTCTCAGCGTCAGCTTATAAAATTTTTCTTTTGAGCAGTACTTTTCTATCACAAAATAGGCCCGAAGCATAAAAAAAAGTTTTAATTTAAATTTCTTAAATTATCAAGGAGCATACATACAAAAATTTTAAATTTATTTTTAAATTATCACTTAACTCTCAAAATTATTGAGAAATTTACGAAATTTCTAGTGGTTTAAGCATAATATGCACAAGCTTTTATAAATTTTTTATTGGTTTAATCATGAGACTCACATATGCAGGTACTTGATAGTTCAAAAACCGGCATTAATTATGATTTTATAAACAATTATTACTTAGATATTATATATGTAATTCCCTGAAATAAGTGTTTCGTGTTTATTTTAAAATGTAAACATAGCCTTGTGCATAAGATAAAATAATACTAATAATAATAATATCTCAATAATATCAAATGCGCTAAAGTTATTATAAATCAACCCATTTTTGTTTTATTTTTATATGTAAAAATATTACAAATAAAAATAATATATCTTTCAAATGCAAGGCTTGTGAAAGAGTTTTTGGATAGTTTTATCTCCAACAAAGAGTCCCATATTCAAAATATATTCTAACAACTAATTTCTAATCTAATTATCACCAAAGTTTAACTTTCTAAACAAAACTACAACTTATACTATCACAAAAATATTAGTATATTCCTTATAAATGACTTATATATTTAAGGGGGTGTTTGGCTGCAAACAGGATTTAGTAAATTCAAATTTATTAAGTCCACCACCTTGCTGGAATTATTAAATATGGATTTAACATGAATCAAAGGTAAATTTCGAACATTATATCCAATATTTCATAAATCCATGTAACTTGCGTTTTTTTAATGCTTGGTTGGATTTAGTAAATCCGAAGATAAATCTTGTTAACATGGTGTTACCAAATACTCTCTGAAAACAAAGTTATTTTATTTTAAACTTATAAATGACTTTCCTTGCCTTATTTCTCTATTAAGAGTCACCGTAAGAGAAATTTGAATAATAGCCTTGAGGTTTTATATTAAGCCTTGGTCAGTCAAAGCTCATCTTGAGATAATATCCATGATACATTACAGGAAAATTACCTTGGGCATAACCATAAAATCCTAGATAGGAAATTAATCTTGTAACAAATCATTCAACTGCAAGCTCAAAATCTCCCATGTAAAAAGAGTGGAAGTCCAAATAAATCTATCTTAAAAGTTTAATGTTATAAGAGACCACTCACATAAATTTTGAAATTTCTCATAACCATTTATTGAGTTATTTTTAGTATACTCATAACTATCTATTTCAATTTGTTAGAACATAATCCCAAAGTAATGGAACAAATAGATTTCTTAGAGAGAGATAGATGACACTCCATCATGTAATATCCATAAAAAATAAGATATTTCATGGAGTGTTATGTGTATCTATTTTAGTCTCTTGGGGCATAATGCAAAAAAATTGGAATCAACAAATGTGTAGAATAGATATAGCAGAAATGCTTTGCCATATATATTTATCTTCAAATAATTTGTTTTTATGATGCTTTTAAAATAAAATAATATAGGCTCCTTTTACTTGAGCTTACCTTTAATGAGATTAAACCTCACCTCAAAATCATCTCGATGTTACTTCAAGTCCTTAGGCTCAAATATATAAAAAGAATCGTTATAGCATCATCAAACTCATTTTCATATAAATCATTTAAACCTCCAATCTACTAGATACTGCATTAATTTGGTTACATTAAAAATCAAATTATTTTGATAATGGAGTATTAATTGAAGAAGAAAACTCATTTTGCTTGTTGAAATGATGAGGTGAACAGTCTTCTTAATGGCTATCCATCTTCAACTTCACTCTAAATAGCTCAACAACGCACATCATCAAAACTACATTTTAATCTCTCATTAACTGAGTTAGAATTCCAAGTTCATACTCTCCAAGTTTTATAAGTGGGGCGAGAAGGGTCAGGGTTAATGACAATAAAATCATTTTCCTCAACACCAATTTCTTCCTTTTAAGATTCCATATGGAGCTAACTAGTCTTTGTTTTAGGATTTTTAGAAAAAAAATTGCGTAGCCCTTTAACATCTTATCATCATGAAGCTCTTTAGAGACCCCTTCCTCCTTGACTTTATACTAATTCTTAACTTTGAGATACTATAATTTTTTCTTCTATGGAACTATGGATGTTAGCACAATCATTTTTTAACCATTTTCATTTATAATATCAATACCATTTGTTGTCCTGCATCATCAACAACAAACTTTATTATTTTATTGATGCTATCCACCACCCCACCCTCCTCTATATAATATCTATTTCATATAGTTTTGTCAAATGTGCGAAAAAAGGAGATCTCTCTGATGATTGCATTTTACAATGAGCCATATGATTGCATGCATAAAGTCAATACACAAGACTTTCAAAATGGAAACAAGTGTTTATTTTACATATTGTATTATTGGCTAATTATCAGAAGTAAGAAAATTACAATAAGAAAATATAATTTGATGCATAAATAATTTTTTTATTCTTGTCGTGAACAACCAAAAATGATGAAAAGTAAGCGAAAATCACCATAATGGAAGTTCTTAATGGTTTTTCTTGATGCATTCATATAGTCTAAGTTATATTTTCCTTGTCTATATTAATTGAAGAATTAAACCCCATCAACTGTGTTCTTGGCTTTAATCTATTTCCTCAAAAATCATTGTTCGTTCATCATACTCTATATTTTTAATATAAAATAATGTTGTAGTTACGCAATCAGCTATCAATTACTCGAATGCATTATTTTAAAGGAAAGTTTGCATTTATACCACATAATTCTTATGTGCTCACATAATTGACATCCAAAATATGATATTTACAATTATAACATATTTAAGTGATATTTTTGATGTGTTATTAAAGATTTGAATGACATGCATGTAAATATGAATATATAAGTGTGCATCAGAACCATGTGGCGCATGTATGTAAATACTTCTATTTTTAAATATGTTAGTTTGGTAGAACTTGTTGATTCCAGCATAAAAAAGGGTGCATTTACATACATCCCACCCAATTTCTATGTATTTATATATTTAACACCTAAGGATTAATTTTTATATTTATACCATTCAAAAATGCCATATCACATCAAAAATATCACCATTTTAACATTGAAAAAGTGAACTATATCATTTTCATATACGAGCAAGGTGATATGTACGAAAATATTGAAATTTTGATGGTAAATATATAAATACTTATGAAATGAGTAGTATCTCCGTAAATCCTCCAAAAAAAAAATGGTCATTAATGACATAGGCATGAATTTTTAGATTTTGTTTTATTGCGTAACGAAAAGGAGAATATATTTGTAAAATAGCGAGTTATGAGGGGTTTTCATTTAAAGCGGGCCATAGCAGTAGAAATATCATTTAAGAAGCGGTCAAACATTAATGTATTTTAATATGCGTGCATCCGTTTATAAAATAGAGAGCGGACAAACTGTCCTTCGGTCGTCTTTTTAGGACGAATCAAACATGATTTAGAACTCTCTAAGATAAGAATATTATTGCGTGTTGGTCCAGTTGATTGGGAGACTTTAACCTCCTTTAATTAAGAATATATATATATATATATATATATAGACACAAATTTTTATCCCATTAAGTGGGATTAGATACTTGAAATTTTACTGATCTCCATTATGTCCTATGTGTCATATTTTTATTTAATTTTAATAAATTAAGATTATTTTATATATAACATGCCCAAGTCTTTTTAGATATATCTCTATCTTTCTTAGCATAAATTAAATTTAAAACATCTACTCTTCTAGTAGAGTCATTAGATGGTTGATATTTAATGTGACCAAAGTATATGCTTCTAAAGCGACTCCAACCCTTCGAGGGATATATTTGTTTCACATTTTATCTCTTAGTGTAAATCCACTCATCCACTTGAACATTCTCATCTCAACAAGGCTTAACGTAATTTTATGGTTCTCATTTATAGGCCAACATTCTGTGTCATAAAGTATTGTAGGTTTCACCACCATCTTATACAATTTTTTTATAAACCTATGTGGTACTTTTCTATCACATTATAGGTCGGATGCATTTCTCCAGTTCAACTATTCCACTTGAATTCTACTAATAACATTCTCATCTATATCACCATCACTTTGAATAATAGA